ATAATTTATTAGTTGTATAAAAAGAGTTTACTCATATTTCACTTTATATATCATCAAATTTTAAATAAAATTTATTTGAATACAGTAATATATATGAAAAATTATAAGAATATTTTTATTTTTCAAAGAATATTTTAAAAGAAGGTCGTCAACCAATCGATCTTGGAAATAGAATCGATTGAAGTATACTACTATTCGTTGCGAAGATTATATCTCTTTTATATATGAATACATATCGAAAGTTTCATTCACTATTTAAGTTACAGACCTTTACATCGAGATGCAACATATACTAAACAATTTAAAAATTCTTGTTTGTTGCAATAAATAAATATATAATTCTAGATTTTTGCAATATTTTCTAGTTTTCAATTTATATATATCGTTATTTTTATCATTTTTATTTGTAAGTATTTGTTTATTAAAATAATGAGACAAAATTTTTGAAAGTAGTGCATTATTTCGAAGACGAGACGTATAAATTTATATTTTATTATACTTTTTCTTCCTGTTAAAATATAAAAGGTATGAAAGTGCCTTTGATAAACTTTTGTCTGTAAAAATCTATAAGTAAAGGAAAAGATGAAGGATTCGGTTTAAAACTATTCGTGAAAACTATGGATTCAACTGATGGTCTGTAGAATTTTTTAGTTTCCGAGGCAAAAAGTTATCTGTTCGACTACGGAGATATCTCTTAGACTGTGTAAGAAATGTAGTAGTTGATATACGATTACAATAAAATATGAAAATGACAGAACGTGGCAAGATGACGTGGTAAAGAGAGAGTGTAAAATGTATTCATGAATCGTTGCTATCCTTTTCTAACTAAATTTGAATGGAATAGGAGTGATGTTGCCGATGATGAATGTAACCTCTGAGAAGAAAGTATATGAAGCAATTATATATTTGAAAAATGGAGTTTCCAGAAGTAGATAGTGTGACTAATATGATGCGGAACTATAAAGAAAAGTATTCTTTGCGTGCAAGAGTAATGTTTCTTTTAGATATTTTTAAAATTAATCAAAGAATTACTTTAATATTTCGTGCGAATAGTTTCCGTCTAATTATTCCTTTTATAAAAATTTTGGAGTTATGTTTACTTTCAACTATTTAAACATATTTTAAATATAGTCATAAATTTCATTTTTATTCTAAAATTAAAACAAAAACAGTTCTTGAGATTATTAAAGATGTAAAACAAGTTATATTAGTAATTTCATATTAAATTATTCTTCAAGTATTTGATGATTATTATTATTTTCAGCTTTAATGTGAAGATTTTATTTTTGGAATTTCAACAAATAAGTAAATTTAAAAAAAATTAACCGAGGAAAATTTTAAATTCCTTCATTCCAACCACTTTTTTAAATTATAAAACAACGGAGTGATATTATGATCAGAGAATCATTAGAATAATTCCAACAACATTTATCAATGTAGTTGCTTCTTTGGAAACAACAATTTTCTCTTCCGTTTCTTTCTTACATCAATATGGTGAACAAACGTCGCAAAAATTGTTCCAGTAACGTCAACAAAGACTGCAAAGAAGGTTTGGATGAATCGATGGCGTGACTGGAAATCTGTAGAAGCGACAAGCTTTCCAGCTGAGGAGGAGAAAAAAGAAAAAAAAGTAGTAATCCATCGAAATCTTATACGTATATGGGGAAAGACCAAACTTGTGATCCTGCCGTTAACTACGACTGTCTGTCTTTCGATTGTCTTGTCTTTGATTCTTTGTAGAATAGGTCAACCAGTTCTTGTGGAAAGAACTTTTCTTTTCGTTGAATTGAAAAAGAGAAAGTACTTCAACTGTTTTGTTAGCTAGAAAGCTTAGGATGCCGTATTATAGATTAAATACTCTAATAAAAACTTATAAAAATAATACATATAAGGATGCCAGAGAAAGATATGATAGAAATACTGTATCTAAAAAATAATTCAGGTATAGCAGTTCTTATAATCAGCTTTTAAATGAACAAATAAATGAGAGATTTTTAAATCTTCTTTTCTTAAATAACATAACAGATGCAACTAATAAGTTCTACAGTTTATTATGCAATTTTTATATACTGCATAAATTTTGACCAAAACTAAATTTATAATTTGTAATTGTTACTATTATGTAAATGTGATTTATACGATGACAGGTCTGGTGGATGAAAGCTGACAGAATTGAAGTCTTCGGATTCCTACAGTAGCCTTGTAAGATCTGTTGGAATAAAAGCTACTTCGTCATTTTAGAGACATTTTCGTCAATGTTTGAACTTAAATTTTAGTTATACAATTTACTATCAATTTTTATAAATGTATAATGTGATAAAGATGAAGTTTATGTTAAATCTCTTTTTGTATCAATGAAAGAAAATTTATACAAAAACATCTTTCAAATCTTCGTGTTATTTTAACAATAACCAAATGTTTCTTCACCTTTTTATGTTTAAAATAAATCAATCATAGAAAAAAAAACTAAATAATATTAAAATAAATAATATGATCATTAAGTCAAATCAATTTTCATTTATTAAATAATTAAAGAATATTTAAACAAAAAAAATTCAATTATTAAGAGAATTCATAAATTTTATTTTAAAATTTCGTAATGGACATAACTAAATCCTGTAAGAATTTTAAATTATAAGTAAGTCACTTTATAACTCGGCCTAATTTTATTACAGAAAATGCACTTCAAATTTATCTTCTGGTACTATAAATATTTACTCAAATTATTATTATAGAAATTTATGTAATTTTTAATTATCATACAATTTTGACTTAATTAATTAAAATAATTAAACAGAAATTTTACAATACTTATAAAGAAATTAAGAAGTTTATTTGAAAAAAACCAATTTGTATTTTAATAAAACGGCTAAATATGAGAAATAACTGTAAATTTAATTATCAATTTTCAAATTGGAGATATATTAATATATTTCTCTTTTAATAATTCTTTATATTACTCTCAATATTCATTTCATGAAATCATTCAGTACAGTTAATTGTTATTTTAATTTAATTTAATTCGTTTTAATATGGCTATCAATGCACAATTCTAATATTACAAAATAATAGGTTTTTATTTCGCTAATATATTGTACTACAAGATAAATAGATTTGAATTTCTCGCATACTACGAATTTTTATATATTTCAACTTATGAAATTTATTCTTCACTTAATACTAAAATTATTCAAAAATGTTTTCTCATACTTCATATTTGTATATTAATCCCATAGTTTTTTATGTTTATATTATATATTTCACAAATTAAAATCGACTATTGATGTAGCAAATTCATAATTTACATATAGAGGCAAAACAATAATTATAATCTTCATTTAGTGTTAGATATTTATAATCCTGTGCAAATATACCTGTATGAAATGTTGATTTCTCTCCAGAGAACGTTTTAAAAATGCCATTTTTTAAAATGAAAATTAATTTATAAAGATTGTATAAAAATTCGTTTCGAATTTTTATGTAATCTTTAGGAATCAATAACAACATTAAAGGATTAATTAATTTAACGACATCCATACTAAATTCGTGACTCGTACGCCTCATTGAGGAATTAATAACTTGTTAAATATTTTCAATAACAAAGAAAATCTAATTTCTTTTTTTCTTATGCCGGTAATTCATAACATTTTTAAAGAATAGCACAATGCATGTCACGAGTAGCTTTAATTAATTATGAACTGCTTTAATTTACATTATATATATGTATTCAGTATATATAAAAATTTGGTGTGCATTATTTAAAACTAGAAAATATTCAGAATAAATATTCTTTTGAAATGTTTACAAGGTTCTAAATGAATTTCGTGCAGCTACTAACCAAAGGATTTAATAAAAATAAAAAGTAATTTCAATTGAATTGTAAAATAATTATATAATTCTTATTTGTAATTTTACTCTTTCTATTATCAATTCTCGACAAATAACGATATAATTTATAATTAATATAGTTAATTCTTTTCTTGTTTTTTCCCAATAAAATAATATATATTATTCAATATAGAGCTTATATATAGTGGATTTATTTGTTTGTACAAAGGAGACATTTTGAACGTCTTTAGACAAAAAGAATATTTATAAACTTTGGAAATAATTCATAAAAGAAAATATATATATATTTTTTTTTCTTTTCTTCTATATTATAAATAAATGTCAAGATAATTCACATATTTCCTAGAAGATTATATTTCTCGTGACATTTCAATGCAAACTTTATATACGATAAGATTATTTTTGCATTGATTACTTCTGTAGAATAAATCTCATAATTGGATCATCTTCTGTTGATAAATAGAATATGCGCTCGACCCAAAACAATATTTGTAGTAAGAAACAGTATCGAAAGTTACTGTAAATATGTTGTATAAATATACAGAATATATATAATAAATCTCCTTTTATTATAGTTCAAAACACGTACGAAATTATTTTAAATTTTGTTGCAAAAACATTTTTTTCTTCTGCATATTCACATCAAATTGAAATTTTTTCCACTGTTTTGAATAAAAAAAAACAATTCAAGTAAACTCTAAAGTGCTCGAAAAAGATAAGATTTTGCAAATTTTTCTGTAGAATTTAATATAATACAGTAAAAATAATTTTAAAAAGTCGAATTTTCTTTCAAATGTCCGAAGAACTTTCTAATGGCCAAAAAATAGTTTTTAGTTTACAAAAAATTATTTATTTAACAAAAGAAATAATAATATTCTTATTATATTAAAATATTTTAATATTAATTTTCTGTTCTGAATTTTAAATGTTGAATAATTCAATAAATAAATAAATAAAATTATATAACAATACAAGGGAGAAATAGGTATTTCCTCTAATTATTAGAGTTTGGGAAGTATTTATTGATATGTTTATATTAGGAACTTATTAGTTATATAAGGAAACTAATTAGCGCTATCTATATAATTTATTGTATAGAAATTGATCAATAGTAGAACAGGAGACATAATCTGATTTTCAATAATGTATAGACACAGACTGGCCAATTGAAGAGAGTCAATCTACAAGCAGTAGCAGTGGTGGAGGCATCCACAGTCGTGCAAGACATCAAGCTCTTCCTCATCCAAACGTCCCTACAATTCTGCACTGTAAGTAGCTTTTTGCATTATTTAAAAATTACAATCTTAGTTATAAGTTTTGTTTGCTATAATATGTTTGTATTATCGGTTTCTCTTACATATGTGACAATATGAATGGTGCACTTTTATTATCTGACAAATATTTCTTTTGTTTCAAATATAAAAGTTTTATGGGATACACTGGCATGTAGACTATGAAACTAAATAACAGACAGAAAGATACTGAGTTGCTACCAAGCGAGAAGATAAAATGGAATATTCTTGTAAGCGGAAAGAAGATATCTGGCAGAGTAAGAAATTTATTTCAACGAAACGGATAGGGAAGCTTTTAGATATTCTAGGGTGGAAAAAGGCCACTTTATCGATTTTTTATTTGTATGAAAGGGACATATCCAAAACCGCCTCTTCTTTAAATATCGATTTCGAGAAACCTAACAATCTCGACACTTCTTTTTAATAATGCATCACGTTAATACAGAAAACATGTAATTTATCTTCTAGTTTTATTATGCTTTTTATCCACAATAATTCAATATTTAATTTGTATCAATTTACATTTTGAGTTGTCTGTTTCCGAAATTTTTTAGCTTTTCTACGAAAGTATACAAGTTTTTATTTTCAAAATAAAACATTTCATTTTTCAGCTTTATGATGGTAATATTAATATATTACCATCTTTGTGAAACAATACGGAATTTAACCTAATTATTTTATCTAACAAATGAAAGATATAAGAACTAGGTACTTGATTTGTACTATAAAAATAAAGTGATTTCTCTACTCAATTTTAGACAGAGTAGATCTAGTGAAATTTGAGTTTTGTTTCTTAAAAATAAGTCGGATTTATCATTAAATATATTCTCCGCTTTCTATTAAATTATGCAAATATAAAGAATAATGAATGTAAACTGAAAGATTTTACATAATCCATACATTCTTTTGGAGACTTTATTCTCTTTACAAACTGCTGGAGCAAGAGAATCTTTATCATTAACTTTTACTTCGATGGTTCAAAATGAAAAAATGAAAGATATTTTTGCCTCATAAAAATTCACAAAACATATTTTTCATTTTATTAATGCAACTCGTAATGGATTGTTTAAATTCTTTAAAAGAATTGGATAAGAGCTCAATATTTTATTTTCTACTCTTATGCCACTAAATATGAGCTAACAAGCGAATTGGATGAATGTCCAACAGATAATGACAAGAAGAATAGCGTAATATTTATTTAACACAAAAATTTTCTTTAAAAAAAAGTAATAAATAACATTTTATATTTCAAATTAAAATTTAATTTGTTGGAATTTATCACGAGTCGCATCTTGCAAGATCTCATCCATAAAATTATCATTACATTCCAAACACGATCTATAAATAAATTCAAATATAAAATTACACAGCGGAAGAAGAATTTTCATTTAATACACATAATTAATCAAAGAATTAAAAAAGTGAAATATCAATAGGAGAGGATGCATCAAGATGGTAGACCTTGTTTGTGAACCAAACATCTGTTAAGTCTATCAAGAGAAATTTAAGGAAATCCGCATTGTATCGATTGTTTTATCTACTTATTTTTATGGAAAATATTATAAATAAAAATTTATGTAAAAATTCTATTTTGTAAGTTTATAAAACGGGGGGAAAATAATCGATGAAGTTGTTAATACATTCATTTCTGTAAATTAATTTTCAAAAGCACTTTAATAATTATTTTTTCCGTTAAGTACATTGATGAAAATGTATTATTTGGATAAATATTAAAAGAATGCAGCTCTTAAAAAAACGTTATCGCGAATATTTAAAAAATATCAAATGCATCTGTGTTTATAATTTATAAATACGTTACAGCGATTTCCTAAATCTTATTTCCTTCATGAAAATTATGATTTTTTTTCTGTCGTTTGAGATAAATAAAGATTAAAAACACCGCAGGGGTTTTCTTTTATCTGCTCGATGTTTTGTAAATGGCGCCCGCGCGACGCGCCATCTATTGTATAGAAGTGGAACGACGAAGGTAAGTAATTTTCTGGATTGTCACTAATCTCATTGAAACAGAAGTTTCGCCTTTAACGGAAGATTCAATTTATCGAAATAAATATTTAAAAAATAAAAAAGAAATTGAAAATGACCAAAAGAAGGTGAATATTTGATAAAATGTTGAGTTTGGCAATATCTAATATCGAAAAAAGCGTCATTAAATAGCAAATTGATGCTTCTGTTGCACACGAGATATTTCTACTGTAAACGAAATCTTATCAGCTATCTGGTCAGGTACAACTCTTGTCCAAATTACTCGCGTGTTACTGGAGATGTAATCTTTCTAGCACTCGCATCGAATTACTTTCTTTCCGATAAAATAACAGAAGCGAAATTGGGATGTAATCGGGTGGAAAAAATCTCCTGTTTTGCAACGTATCAGTACGCAGAAGAATTGAAATTATTGTTAACATTAATGTGTACTATACACATTTTATCTCTGTACAGTTTACGTGAGAAGAGTAATGAACAAATGCTTCCTACAGCGTAGCGCCATCTGGTGTTTCGTTTAAATATAAATTTGATTAAATAAAATTAAATAAAAATTAAACGCTTTATTAAGCTCTTGTCATTATTATAAACATTAATAGTTTAATTATAACGATAATAATAAAAGATTAAAAAGCAAAAGAATTTAATAAATGTATTTTTAAATAAATTTATTTAATAAAAAATAATAACAACAATTAAACGAGTATATTTAGAAGAAAAAAAAACAATATGAAAAATTTTAAAGTAATAATATAAAAAAAGCTTGTATCATGTGCTGACATCTGGTATTCTCATTTGAATTTAAATTTTCGTCGACAGATGGCAGGATGTAACTGTAGTGCTCTATTTAATAAATGTTTGTCATTTTAACGTAAAAACTGTATATTTTATTTTATTTTTCTCTCTTATCTAAAAGTAATAATTTTAAGCAAAATTCGTAATTTAGTTTCATAGTTAATTCTTTGATAATTGCGAGTTTTCATTCAAATTTTGTGAGTAGTCATTAATGAGAAAATTAATGGATCATTTACTAATTGATTAATGGTACTATTATAATAATATTAATAATTTCTGCATAATTACTGCGATCGGAAGTTGATAAGTCAGATTATAATTATTATCGTTAAAATTTAGTAAGTGAAAAATGTTCATTAGTTTTTAGTAAAGAATTAACATGGAAACTAAATAAGGCCGTCTCGTCCAGGGAATAATAAACATAGAAAATCGATCATATCAAGAAAAATGTATACATAAACTTAATTAGATTTAAGTTTGACTTACTGTTTAATTCGATTAATTTAACAATTAAATTATTTTAATAATATTTAGATATTAAATTATGTACTTAAATTTAATCTGTTTGATAAGTTACGATGTAATTGTTAATTCTTAACAAATAAAAATATCAGTTTTTACTCATTTTAAAATAATAATAGAATAATTTTTTTTTAATTTGGACCATGAAAAATTGCGGAATATACAAAATTTATTATATACAATTAATTAAAATAGTTTAATTAGATGAAACCAAATTCTTTTTTCTTTTATTTTTCTAATTGAAATTCACGCAAAAATTTTTTCTAGCATAATTACTGATTAATGAATAAACGTACATTTTGATTAATTAGTAAAAAAGTGCGAAACACTTGCGATGTTTGGCATACATTGTGTAAATGAGAATTTTTTCCCCCTCTCTTAAAAAGTTACATGCTTTTCAATGTTTTTTTTTTTTTTTTTTTATAAGGAAATTTTGAATAGATTTTTAGAATTTAAGATGTCAAAGTATTGAAATATTAAATTGTTATTCTTATACGATGAAAACTTAATTGCATTTCATTGATATCTGTACATTATTAAATCTTCAAAGTCAATCATATTACTGTTACATGCATCAAATTAAGTCATAAATTGAATAGTTTGATATAATATTTAAATTTTAATTGTATATATATTTTTAGTTTTGATTTGAATTAAAGTATTTTAAGCAAAAATTGGTAACAGCGTGCCATTGGATTCATGCCCAGAAGCCAAAATGAAGAGAATAGTCATTTGAAACGTAATCAGGCAACTTCGTTTGCCAATAGTATCAGGCGAACAGAACGGAGTGAAACATTAAAGAAAGGATAGGCTTTAGCGGGCAAAGTATCCATTAAATGAATTGTTTAAAAGGTTATTTTATGATTTTCATAAGCACGGTTGTTCAAAATTTCCCAGTTTTGACGATATTACCAGGGAACCTTACCAAGTTCGCAAAGACTACAATATTCGTAATACTCTGATTCTGTCAAACTACTACTACTTTTTTTATTTTTAAAATAATTTAGCTACAAAATTTAATTTCTAATCGCTATTTCTATCAATAATTCTGTTAAGTAAATAGACTTATTACATAATTTATTATTTTGTGCTGTAATCTTTTTGATACGTGTACGCAAAATGTCTTAAAACACGAATAAATTGAAAGGCACTGACCAATTTACTGTTGTTGAAAAATAGAATACACCAGATACTGCGTTCATCTTCTCTTATCTATTTTGTCGTTTTAGCTTCGTTGCAGTAAAATTAAAGTGTTATATATCAAATACATATAGGCCTCTTGTGGAGTGTAGCTTCTGCAAAAATCTACTTCTTAAGTTTCATTAACTACAGGCCTATATAATATATAGTAGAATCTTCTTATTGCAATCAGTTAAATTATTCTCGATCTTTTAATGTTATCAGAATTAGCATGTCCCAAAGCGTAGGTTATATTTATATAATAATAAGTTATATTTTACTTTATAAAGAATATTATATTTATATAAAGAAATAAATACATTTATAAAACTTAGCTTAAAAATAGGCATTTTAAATCAGTTTGCTTATTGTAATCAGAGGTAAATAAATCTTTTCGTGCTGTTGTTTCAACATGTGGCTAATAAAATGCATTCGTTATCATTTATCGTTATTAGTCTTAACCAGTGCTTTAAATGTTA